ATGGCCAGTCAGAGAAGCTGTCAGCAAAGTCCTTAGCCTCAACAGGCTGTTCTTGGCTGGCTGTTATGATAGATACACTTACATACATTTAGGTATGTTATGTACTCTTAACAGTGTATTAATACTTCTGGGGAAGAAATGGGCTCACATCTCCACCATCAGAGCTTCATTATAAGCACATTCCTGGGTAGGCTCAGACATTGCTCAGGAGGCTGCTGCTCTGATGTTTCAAGCCAGCCATTACTGGGTATTGTGTATTGTGGTTATTTAATCTGATTTCACAATTAATGACCTGGTAATAGTTGCATCTAAACTCTCCTAGGGCAATGAAGTCCCTAACTATCCACTGGAATTCCCTTTGGTAAACATTTCTGATGGATGCCTGTTAAGTTTAGATTTTCAGTGATGGTGACTACATCTAGGCAGTCTGTCACAATACTTAAGTGTCCTTTGAACTAAAATATTTTCTAAGTTCTTACCTGAATCTGCATTACTGTGATTTGAGCTTGGCATTTTTCATCCTGTCCACCCTTGAGATCAAGAACATAGTTCCCTTCTGTAACAAACTATATTCTTGAAAATACTGTCATACCCTGCCTCAGCCTTTTCTGTCTTTTGAAATACAACCAAGTTCAACCCTTTCTTACAGATAATTTTTCTCTAGGGTTGTTTTTTTTCTTTTTCCTTCTGCCCTTTCTTCAGACACTCTCCAGTTATCTTAATCTTTCTTAAAAACCTAGCACCCAAACCTGGATGTAAGGTTGGTCTGAAGGTCCCATCTGAAGTCTTACCCATGAGAAGTTATACATGAAAGTTACTTTAAGACCTTTGTAAACTTCAGTTTGTAACACTGATACTATGTTGTCAATATTAGTTATTGGTTTGGTTCTTTTTAAATAGCACTGCATAGCTGATGCTTATTAATCTTATTTTGCACTATGGTATCTAGAGTCTTTTTGTTACTAGTTGGGTTTTTTTAAGCATTGCTACCTTAGTCAGCTGTTTCCCATTCTGTACATGTACAGGTGATTCTTCTCTTCATGTGCAGAGTCTTGCATTTGTCTCAGCTGAATTTCAACAGTTTTTAGGGCATTTATCTCAAAGAAAAACATTGTCAAAAATAATCTTGAATTTGAAACCTGTCCTGCAACATACCTGCAACCCTTGTATCTCATTGCACATTGAAATTTAATGCAGATCCTCTTTCTTCTGTCTCCAGATTATCAAAGAGTACACCAGCTGGTGCAGCTGTGATGCAGTCTAGAAGGTGCCTTGCATTTAGAATGCTCCTGAGGCACAGTGTATACACTCTGGGTGGCCCAGACAAAAATGTTATTGAAGAAATTATGGTCTGTATGCAAACCTCAGTCTCTTTTTCACTTCTGAGGCCATCTAGAGGTTATATGTTCTGAAGAAGGAAACTGGCAAAAAAAAAAAAAAAAAAAGCAAGCTTTTGCTACTTGTTCCAGCAAAAGCCTGAGTGCCACCAATCCAAGAAAAATTAAGCTGGAAACAGAAACAGACTAATGAGAGAATACTGAGTTGCAGTTTGATAAAGGTTGTCTAACCATGGAAAATTGAAAGGTCAATATTTAAGAAAAAACAACTTATGGATTTAGATACTGGGCTTGTAACACTCGACTCGAACCTCACTTCCAGTACTTGGTAGCTTTGTGCTTTGAGAAAACCAAGTGTTTTGAAGCTGTATAAGACTGAGTGCCTGAAATACTTTATCCAAGATTTTAAGTGGTTCACGTTTTCAGGCCTCTTAATTTTTATTCACTTCCTGGTAACCACACAATAAAGAGCTGGAGTTATTTATGGTATATGTAATACTTAGATATGTCATTAGAGTTAGTTCAGTGCATCCAGCAAAAAAACCCCAACCCAAACAAGTAAGACATTTCCTTTCAAGTTCTTATAATTTTTCTTATTGAATAGAAAACTCTTTGAAAAAAATGCATAAAAATAATTTATTTAAACATGTTGTGTTAAATCACCTTTGCTTTAAAAATGAGTACACTCTGGTTTTTCACTCAGACAATATCTTTTTACTGTTTATTATGATGCCCTATGTCTTTCATAGCATTCTCTCCTCTTTCATCTTGTGGCAACAGAGACCCAAAATAGCTCTGCTGAGGGAACAATAAAACATTTCTTTGCAGAAAGAAGAAAAAAGCTAATCTGGTTGAATTCAGCCATCTTATGGGACTTAACGCTTTACACAGAAACATTTCAGGTTTGACATTTCATACCTATGAGTTTGGAAGAAGGCTCATTCAACTATTCTAGGTGCTCCCCGTACCTCTCTGAAAGTTGAAGTTGTCCCCAAGGACAACTCAAAGACAGGTGATGTGTCTGTTGAAAGCAGTTGCATATATACTGCATAGTGTGGTATTGTTTGCTCTTCTCTTACTGTTGTTTTCTTTGTGTTGCTTCTGGGAGCTAACTTTGGATTTTATTTACAGTTGCTTCCTCTCTTTTCAGTTATTCATCCCTGCCATTTGTTGGCCAGGAGCCCTTCTGCATCTTTCTTTTTCTTTTTGCATTCTCTCCCATATGCTGTGCTTTCCAAAATCCTGAAACTCTGGCTGCCTGGTCCTGAAGGCATTTCAATTTTTATTCTAATTTCTCTTCTACCAGCCCAGAATATCACCCTTAGTTTGTCTAAAGTCTTCAGTTTCAGCCTTCAGGAAACAAGTCTATTTCTAGCACACGGCTCTAACTTTCCCTGAATACTAAGAAATAAAATCTAGCTCACAGCTGTATATGATCTGAAGCCTTTCTTCTTAGATGAGCCATCTTTCTTCATTGATCACTTGTTCTTTATATATTTGTTAAATTTCTGTTTTCACTATTATTATTTTTTTAATTTTATTGTGAACAAGATATTTCTTGTTAGTTATTACTTTGCATTTTATTGTTTGGTGGGTATTCATACTGTGTTTCTGTTTGTTTAGGACGTTTTCCAGTTGACTTATGAAACACCCTAATTTCACTACTGCACTCATTTACTTTAAATTAAGCACATGCATATTTCTAGAAACCCAGGGCCATTTTTTATAGCTTTATCACACTAGAAAGTCCAGTCTGATTTGCTGTCCTCTGCTGTATCTTTCATATTAGTTTTATTCCACTTCTTATCCTACACAGAATCATTGTATTTAAGTTATTTTGCTACATGTAATTTAGTTATCTTATCTGATGTCTTTTTGGTGTTTTTCCCCCTACGCTGTTACTTTGTTTATATGATAAAGTGCAAAGGAACAGGGGAGATTCTTCTTAATCTGTTTCATGTGATTCAAAGCACAAATTAAACTCTTAGCAACATTATCAGAAATTTCAGCTGAAAAGAAAACTGGCAGATTTATCCATTGGAGGACCTAGAGTGAAATAACAAGAGAAAAAAATATAGGTCATATGGCCAGATGTTTTTGGAGCAATGCTGTGGTAGAAAACTTGGCTTGGGCTGAACTGACCCATGCTTGACTGTGTCTCCAACTGTATGTCATTGCCATTTTATAAGGACTGAATACTGATTGTTTAATTAAGTGGTAAAACAGTAGAGGTTTTCACGTCGGCCTAGTTCTCATTCTCATAAGATCTGGCCACAGCAATCACTTTGTTCCTTCTCCTTCATTAGTGTATTCTTTGAAGAAGGAGCCAGTCTCCTTTATGGTTTCCATGCCATGCTATGAATTTATTTAATAGTCCCAGATCCCAGTTCATTGACTTATGTGGTCTCTCTTCATTTCAGGCTCTGCGTCTGCACTGCCACTCTTGGGTTTTTTGTGAAGCTACATTAGATACAGCTACAATAGGATATTTCTCCTACCTGAAGCACAAGAGCTTTTATAAACCTATAGAGAATGGATTGCATTAAAAATGTTTGTGCAGCTTTTCACTGCAGAAGGGACCAACATGACTTGCTGGGAGTGAGAACAAGCACAATCATGCTTAAAACCATGTTAAGTAGTCATGGTTGATTTTTGCTGTAGATTAGCCACAATAGGCTAACCTGTTCTCTGTATATTCTATAGTTGGTTTTAACTGAGTTCTAAATCGCCTTTGACACATTGCTAATAGCATATCTTTTCCAGTTTAAACATGGCTTGGATGTACAGTTTTTGGTATACTTTGGTTGGAAAAATTTCTAGTCATTTCTCCTGCCATCATTCCTACTGCTTCTTGAGATTTCTTACGCAAAACATGTAATAGATATGCAACATGGCATGGTTTGACTTTACTAAATAGCCTTATACACTTTTTTTCTCCATGTAAGAAATACATCCTGCTTTGAAATATTAAGTCTGTGTGCTTCTTACCTGTTTTCCTACTCTTCTTTTTCTGTGAATTTAGCGGTATCTTTTTGGAGACTTCAAAATAAACCAGACTGAAATTGCCCTTGATATAAGCAGGCACAACTCCTAATGAAATCCATAGGAGTTATGTCAGCTTATCCAAAGAGTGATTTTAGACTCTGTTTTATTGGGAAACCTGCACACAGTGCTTTGTTTTCTTTTTGCAAAAGCCAAGGCCTGATTTTGGAAAGGTGTTACAAAGCAGATGGTGTTTCAACAGCATGCACTTTGGAAATTTCTATGTAAAGTATAGTTTTTATATTAAGATCAGTTAGTGAACATAATGGATTTGTTTGGTTTTCAATGATAATTTGTTTGGTAAATCCTGATTTTTGCTCTTTCTCACTATTCACAAGACAGTTTAAAGGCCAGAAAGAATTTGGCAAACCATCTGGCATCTGAAATAAGAAACTCTGGCCTGGAGGAAAGGCAAACGAGTGATATAGGAGCAACTAGTTAGCATTACTTTCTTATACTTATGTTCTACTTGTCTAACAGTATACACAAACCTATGGTTTATGAAAGAGTAGGAGGTAACTTTTTAGAGATGTTATTTTCCATTAATTCCAGAGAGAGAATTTTTTTCATTGTTCCATAACTTTATTTTAGAATCTTAAGATTCTAAACAATTGCTTCCCTCTTCTTTTATAGGGCACCAATGCCTCTGCTCTGGAAAAAGATATCGGTCCAGAGCAGTTTCCAATCAATGAACACTACTTTGGATTGGTCAATGTAAGTACCATTTTCAGTAGGCAAAGCAGATACAGAACTATGGCTCTTATGTTACCTGAATTTTGGTTTGTTTGTTTGGGGTTTTGTTTGTGTGTTTGTTTTTGTTTTGTTTTCTCCCCCAAGCCTGCTCTAATGTTGGATTGTCTTATTTTGAAAAAGTGATGCTCGCATTCCAATTTTAGGCAAAAATGGGTTGCAAAACTGTATCAGATGTTGACGACAGCTTCATTACTCCCCAGGAGAAAACAGCTTGCTCGTCTATGAATGTTTCTAGGGATTAGAACTTAAACTTCCATAAAGTTAAAAGCCTATTTTAGCTATGAGACTTGAGGGGGAAGCGATAGAAGTATGTACAAGCCTGGGTACAGCAGTCTGCATTGGGTACTCTCTTAGGAGGAGCTTTTGTATCTATGGAGAGAATGAGTGAGAAGACTGTTTAATTCCTTGCATGTTTCCGTATAAATAGGAGATCTAGTAATTTTTTTTCCATTGAAAACTTTAGTCATTCTGCTACTGAGCAGTAAGATAGAGCCTAGACAGCATATATTTATGTATGGAAACAAGCTTAACAAGACCCACTACAGTAAATATCTCTCGCAAGTGGAAACTTTTGCTTTGTGTCCTTGTTAATTTAGAACAACACTGCAGCTTTTTTTGGTGAAGTGTCAGGGGTAGGTTTGAAAATACATTTCTACAGCAGCTGCACAGCAAAACAACTGGTATGTGACAGGAGCACACAAGCCAAAAGTTGAACAAAGCAACTGGTTTTATAGTGATGCACAGGGACTAAGATTGTTTTTAATTTTACACGGCAGTTTGGGAACACCTGCTACTGTAACTCCGTGCTGCAGGCACTGTATTTTTGCCGGCCGTTTCGGGAAAATGTGTTATCATACAAGGCCCAACAGAAAAAGAAGGAAAATCTCTTGACTTGCCTGGCAGATCTTTTCCACAGTATTGCTACTCAGAAGAAGAAAGTTGGTGTTATTCCACCAAAGAAGTTCATATCAAGGTTACGAAAAGAGAACGGTAAGTGTAAAACTGGAATCCTCTTGGTCATTCATGCACTGATCAGGAAAATGTAACTAAATATTGGGCAATGTGGTGATGTTAATTAGATGTTCAGGTTAGATTTGTAAATTGCTTTTAGTACTCTTTGGGGTTTAGATATTAATATTTTATTATATATGTGCATGGTATGCTTGAAATAACCATACCAGGTTTAGTAAGTTCCCAGATGTGTATGAATTAATGATGAATGCACAGCCTGGTGGGACAGACCACAGTGTACAGTGAGCTAAGGCTGGGAATAGGGTGCCACTATGCTGTAATTTTAAAATTTTACTTTGTGGAGTATGGAACAGAGAAACATTGAGGGCGTTGATGGTATAGAAACTCTGTGACCTAGGATTGCTTCAGGCACCACTAGTCCAACACACCCTGGAGGACAGATAGCTTTGTATCTTCAGTGGACTACATGTCAACTGCTGCTCTTGTTCTTAGAATTAGTGGGCACAGTCTTACTCTGTGAAGCATCAGGCTCTTTGAGCATTAGGCTGGCCACAGCATATGCCTAATCTTGTAGTAGTTCTGTCTCAGGGATATGAGGAATATCTTGAAATAAGGAAGCCTTCCACACAGCTCCATTTTGGCCTAGATTCATATCGATGTGGGTGGTATGCCTAGAAACGGGAGCTTTGAATGAAGAGACAAAATATGAGTCAAACACCTGGAAGAAATTGCTTCCTGGTGACAGCATATAAATGGGCAGACTGTTCATTCCAGAGCAGGCTTTTGAAAGTGTGATAAAGTCAACTCTGAGTCATCTAGTGATAAATGCCCACACACAGCTGGGGATCACTTTTAGGGGCTGGACTTTATGTTTTTAGCTTTCTTTAATTAGGACCAGACTCAGTGTGTATTAACCAGCTTATGTGTCCAGGCTAGAAATTGCAAAGCCAAAGATTCTGTGCAATATTTTCTGAGGAAATACACATGAGCTTTTTCAGGAGCAGGGGGATAAAAATATACATTTTTTTGAGAGCACAGATATTTTTTATTTTTTCAACATAGTGGGCAAATTAAGCCTTCACTGGAGAAGTGTGCACTAAATCACCATTGAGGTATTTTCCCCTCCCCCTGCAAGCATTTCTTATTGCAGAGGACAAGTCTCTGCTCATCAGACTTGTGTGAAAAATGATCTTTTTTAGATGGTGTTATTATTACTACTTGTGGTGGGTTAAAGTTGGCTGGCTGCCAGGTGTCCACCAAGCCTGTCTCTCACTCCCCTCTTCAGCAGG